GGACTATTCAGTTAAGAGAAGAGAAAAAAGGAAAGAAAACTGTTATAATGGGTGATGTAACATTAATGACAGACATGAGGTCCTTGGCACTCAAGAGCAGTGGTTCCCAACCTGGGGGGTGCGCCCCACTTGGGGGGGCGCCAAAGATCGCAGGGGGGGCGCCAGGCCTCAGATGATTTGAGGCCAAATATCATATTTAGACTTTTTTCTTTTTTTCTTTTTTCTTTACATATAATTGCAACGCAATACATGATTGTCACTAAAAGCCTTGTCCCTACATTACAATAAAATATAAAAAATAATTGATTAATTAATTTGAATAAAGATTCAAGTTAGTAGCTATTATAGGCATAAAAAGACAGAAATGTATAATTCTTTCTTTAATATAAATGTTTCTTCTGCCCGTAAAGTGTCCAAACCAGGCTTTTCTGGATAAGCGCATTTTTAAAACATAGTCATTGTCCATGCCGGTTTCAGTTGGATTATTTGTCACAGTTGCTCCGATCAGATCGGTCTCCTTCATTTTGTAGATTATTTACGACTTTTGAATCCACATAAACACATTGGCAAAATCCAGTTTACTTTGAGCATGTGTTTTAAACAGTTTAATCCCTTTGTGAATTGTTTCCACTTGCGCCGTCCTTTCATTTCTTCATACAGCGGGAATCCAAATGAATTAATCCTGAGTCCAATAACCATCAAAGTCACTCCAATAGTGCTCCTTGATTACGCTTTCATCCTCCTTTAACAACATACTTCACATTCATCCAGTTTGTGACAGTAGTTGTAGCATTTTTGAGACTTTTAAACTTTAATTACCGCTGTTGCGCGTTTTTTTTAAGCTGTTGTTGGCCTGTGGAAAAATGTAATCATAAGAAATGACTCCGGAGAAGCTGCAGGTAGAGCCATAAGAAATGAATGCAACTGATTATTTAATGTTTAATGTTATAGGCAATAATTTAAGCTTTGTTAGTTCCAGGTTTAATATGTGCAATAAGTTCATTTCAATAAGTTTTGCAATAAACATTGAACCAGTCCGGCCCTCCACTAGTACCCATTTTTTTATTTTGGCCCACTGTGTATTTGAGTTTGACATCCCTGCTCTAGAGGGATCATTTTGTGATCATGGGGCATCACCCTTGTATACAGCATCAGGACAATATCATATGGAGTCAGACACTGGAAGTGTGCTGGAGGCTGATGCGTTGACTGGGACTGATGGAAGGATGAGGCTGATGAGACTGAAGAATCTGCGAGGAACGAACTAGCGGCAGAGGAATAATTATATATTAAAAGACAGCAGCCCCATAAGAGGCCAACCAGAGTGACAGAGTGTGTCACTTTGCTGAAGGATATTTGTGACCAGCTATCCAGGCCAGTCTCTAAAGACTTTCCAAGGTGTAAAAATGCTGCTGCCGGAGTACTGACTGGAAGTATTGCTGATATCATGTCTACCATCCTCTTAAAATACTCTGTCCAACAATATCAGTCTCAGGAAGAAAGGTGTTTTAACGCTGATTCAAAATAGCAGAGAAACATGCATTCGTGTACTCAGGAGGGGACATTGACAGAGGATTACTGAAAAAGTACACAGTAAACACTTCATATACTTGTAGGGGTAATTTCAGTAGTACTGAGTCCAACAGGATCAATCTCACAAAGTGACTAATGGCAACAAAAAATAATTCCCTCATCAAACTTAGCAGAAGTGGCTTGATTTTGTTCTCAGCAGGGGACTTTGTCAGAGGATTTCTCAAAAAATACACAGTAAAAGTACTTCAATGTATTGTTAGTATTAGGCTAACTAATACAAAGTCAAACAGTATCAATTTCATTAAGAACTAATGGTAAAATTGTCTTTTTATCACTCATCAAAGATAGCAGAAAACATGCATTATGTACTATGGAGGGGACTCTGACAAAGTACACAGTAAAATTACTTCATTTCATTTCTGGTAGCAGTTAAACTAATACCGAGTCCAACAGTGTCAGTTTTATTAAGAACTTGTAGTAAAAAATATTTGTATCAGGGCCGCCCCTCCCTACAGGCCGATCACGCAGACTGCGTGGGGCCTCACCTTGCGGAGGGAGCATCTGAAGCGCAAATGCGTACACGGATTGACCGTCCTCATCTGCGCTCTTATTTTGTACGGTAACTTCCGGTAGCAGAATATGAAAAACCGGTAGTTTTTTTGTTTCTACTTTCTAGTGATTTTATTTTTTGTTTTGAGAAGTAGAAAATGAAAATCATCCCGTTTTTTAAGTTTAGTAAATCCCTTTTTGACCATGATAAAGAAAAACGCCTTGTATTTCAATTTTGGTTTTTCAATTTTAAAACAAAAATTAAATATCCAGTCGTTTTTTGTTTTTGAATATCCATTTGTGAAAAGAAAATCCAATGACCAAAACATACACTGACCCCGCTGCCACACTTGGGTTGGTATTTTTCACTGATATTGTCCTTATCAGACTCTGAATGCAAGCTGTTAAAATAGCCACATACAATGTGAATGGTCTTGTAAATTCTATCAAGAGAAGTAAGATATTAACCGAACTAAAAAGAGATAAAGTTGGGTTGGCCTTCTTGCAGGAAACGCATCAATCGGATACAGAGCATGCTAAATGAAGAAGACTAGGCTTTAAACATCAGTACTCATCATCATATGCGGCTGGCCACAGGAGGGGGGTGGCAATATTCATTTCCAACAATATTAGTTTTGGACCCACGTTTGAAAAGAAGGACACAGAGGGGAGATATATATTAGTGAGAGGAAATCTAGGTGGTTCATTGATTTCTCTACTAAATATTATGCTCCTCCTAATTCAGATTTTTAAACAGATATTTCATTTAATTATAGCATAAACTCAGGGGGTCCTAATCTGTGGGGGGGATCTAAACATAAGATTGAATCCTAAACTGGACTCTTCAAATGTGCATATTGGGCAGCCCAAGCTGATAAACAAGAACATCAATTTGGCAATGGAGGATATTGGTTTGGTAAATCCTTCAAAGAGGGACTATCCTTTTTTTTCTAATCCACATTTGGCTCATTCAAGGATTGAAATCTGGAGCAGGATCAAAGAAACACGTTATATTAAACCAAGTTCCAAGATAAACATGACTTGTTTATGAGAACATCAAACAATGGTGTCGTATCAATATCATATCGGGCTTAAAAAGTGCATGAAATGCACAGGGGTTTTATCATGAGAATGCTGTGCGTACGATAATGCATGGATGATCATATCCTGGCTCAACACAAGCCTTAGAACCTTCCGGTCGAATGCATGAATGTGCGGGGGTTTTATCATGAGAATGCTGTGCGTACGAAATGCATGGATGATCATATCCATGTCTTCTTCTGCTGTTCACTTAAGTGTTTACTGCATGTCTTCTTCTGCTGTTCCCTTTAGTGTTTACTTCCTGCCTGTCTTCTTCTGCTGTTCCTGTTTAATTCCTGCCTGTCTTCTTCTGGTGTTCCCTTTAGTGTATACTTTCTGTCTTCTTCTGCTGTTCCAGTGTTTACTACCCTTCTGTCTTTTAACCTCTTTCGTTCTCTTCTTCTTTTTTTTTTCTTTACTGGGGAGAGTTTAGGCATCATGAATCCAACATTTCTATTTCGGCACAAAAATCCGCTGTTTGCTGACATAATAATGCACAAATTCTTACTGTTGCTTGATAAGACTGCACATGGCCCCTTGATCAGAGAGTTCTTATCGTTCTGTTCTTTCTCAATAGCAGAATGTCCATATTGAATCTGAATCAAGTATTGTAATAAGTATATATACCAGTGACGTGTGGTGAGGTTCATGGCTGGTGAGGCACTGACTCTTTCAGAGTCAGATTTACAAATATTATATTTTGACCTTAATCGAAATATTCTGTTATTTTCAAAAGCTTTTTTAGTCTGATTTTTCGATTAATTGTAAACAGACCGTTCAACAAAAGGATACCCAAAATCTAAATATTGGATTGTTCTTTCTTAGTAAAATCCCATTTTCATTACAAATGTGGTCTTCATTTAATTTCAAACCTTTATTTAATCAGATTGGTCCCTTGAGATCATAGATCTCTTTTTCAAGGAAGACCTGTCTTACCTTGACTTGAAGATGAAGTCCATGCTATCCTTCTGGACAACAATCTCTATTACTTTTTTGTAAAAGTCCTCCTTATCTTCCTGTAGTTTCAAAAGTCTAGTTTGTTGTTTGCGTCTACCGTCTCTGCGTAGAATAACAGTAGCAACAAGAACCTGTGGGCTCACGTGCGCCCCTTCAGTGCGGCAGAGGTTATGGCTGCCTCTCCTGGTGCTTTTTTCATTGTCGTTGTATGATGAGACCAGCGAGCCTAAATATCATATATACGTGAAATAAGTTATTTAGAGACTATGGATGGCGAGGATAAATGTAATAAAGGGATCTACAAACATTACATTGGTGACCTACAGTGAGATGGTAACAGGCATGCGCTTAGGGCCCGCTTTCCAGCCAGTTTCTGTGGGGTGACGCATTCTGAGGTGAGGCAGAGCTCATCTGTGCCTCACCTCACCCCACGGTAACTGGCTGGAGCGCGCTCACAAAATAAGTGCCCACGCTAAATTAGTGCCCGCGCTCCAGCCAGTTACTGTGGGCTTACGTGAGGCAGAGCTCGTCCCTGCCTCACTCCTCATCGCTCCCATGTAGCCTAGTTGTAGCGGAGCTCGGCAAATTTGCCGATTTTGACTATAAGAAGCGATTGGAATCATACAGAAATCACACTTACAACACAGATCAGTGGAGACATTTTATTATTATTATTATTTAGTTTTTCTTTAGTTTTTTTCCCGTTACATTGGAGTATGACAGGTGAGGCTCTCCCCTGACTGCACGTCGCTGGTATATACAGTAACTACGCCATGCACCATCTTGTTTTAACAACTAATTTTGGTTTGGAAATATTCCTGAAGGTGCAAGTATTGACTAATCTTTAACTATGTTAAGTGGAAAGTGTTTTGTGTCTTCAGGTGTCCGTGGTTTTCCAGAGATGGAGCATGCTGCTGCTAACGTCCACTACACCCTGCTGCTGGCTTGCGTGTTGGTGGCCTTCTCGCTGGGCGCCATCTTGTCGGGCTTCCTGGTGTCGTGGTACTGGAGCCGCAGCGCCACTCAGCAGGCCAGGAGGATGGGGAAAGACCCCGAGGTCCCGCACACCTTATCTCTACGGTCCCTCGCCAAGCTCAATGGACTGCTGGACGGACAGAAAAAGGTAGGGGGACTCACTGCACATAGATAATGTATGAAAAGAGAATGCCCTGTCATAAACCAGTATCTGAATGGGTAAAAAGGCTTTGATGGTTAACTGCTACCAGAACACGTAAAGGGTATAATGAGAACTCAACAGCGTCACACAGAAACAAAATAGTGATAGGAATGAGCTTTATGTCAACCACAGCAGGTTGGGAGACGAGCTGGTAAGCGTTGTACAGTTTGGTTAACAACTCTGAAGACGGTAGGTCAGGGAGAACACAGACTTTGACATAAAACTTTGGCAATTCAAACCATTTTCTTTGCAATGCAGCAGAACTGCAACGTTTGTCAGCCTAGGCTTTTTTTTATAAATAGAAAAGGATGTAAATCACAAAACAAAGGATCAGGTTTCTTATGCTCTTCTTCTTTTGTTATCTGGCAGGAGGACAAACATGACGTGTCCATCCTGAAGATGTACAGCTCCTTTATCCCCAACGGCGGCGCAGAGCCTCACCTCAACACTCCTGCGCACGCGGGCCTGCCGCTGGGAGACCCCGAGCTCAGCCTCTCCCTGGTAGGACAGCCTGCTTATACAAGTACTACAAAGATGACTCTTTGGCCCCTATCTTCAAGCTTCCTATAGCTTGTTGGGGTCTCCCAATGAACACGTCCCCATTGTGTCGTATGATTGAACTTGTATTTCAATTTAAACTTGTGAATTAAAAAAAGAAATCAAATGAAAAATGTTATTACATTTAACTGAAAGGGGCACTCCAGTGATGTTACACTTAAAGGTCCTCCAGAATCTTTGGGAGCACTCCTGTGTTACCAGAAAGAAATGACTGAATCACAATTGTTCAGCCTGTGTCAAAAAGGTTACAAATGAAGAGGATTAATATTATGTTGAAAAAAGTCATATTATATACTGTATACATCCTAAAGAAATCTTAACAATGTAATAACAAATGTTATGAAGAAATCACAGTATGTCATGAAAAAGCCATGGTGATGCATGCCGTAAAGTCAATAATAACTATTTCAAAAGTCAGAAGTTGAAATGTCATAGAAAGTCATTAAAGAAGTCATAGTATAGTAGGTCATAAAACGTCTTAAAATAATTTGTTATAATATCCTAGTTTGGTATGTCATTAAATATTAAAATAAATGTTGTCACATACCATGAAAGAGTCATAGCTTTATTATTCATTAAAACGTGATAAGATTATTAAAAAGTAATATCAAATTGAATTGAAAGAAAAGTAAAAAGTCATGGTGTAGGATGCTATAAAAAAAGGTCTGCATGGTATCTTATAGAACATATGAAAAGAAGTGTTCTACAAAAAAAAGATCATTCCTTTTTCCTGTAATGCATGTAGACAGAAACATGATGGTCTTATTAATGTGTCATTTCTAATAATGGGTATAATCTCTGTTAAGTCTCTGTCTCAGGGAGATGGAGATCTGTCCGGCCTGCCCACGCCTGTCTCTACCCCCGAGCTCCCCATCAAGAACATGAAGGCCCTGCGGCACCATCAGTATGAGAGGAACCAGAACTGCAACAACGCGGCGGACAGCAGCCACAAACCTACGCCGTGTGGCTCCACATCCAGTCTGGGTTTCATGGCTGTTGTCAGGAACTCTATGACACAGCAGGTGTTCCCCTTCTCTCATCACCATGGCAACAGTTTGAACAATGTAGCAGCACATGGAGCCGCTACCTCTTCAACTTCACTGCATCTGCCTGATGAAAGGAACATCTTGAATGATGAGCAGGCAGCAGAAGGCGGAGGACTACCTCATCATCACCTCTCCCAGCAGTCCCTGCCCCAGAGAGGGGGGGGGGCAGTCCGCGCTGGACGAGCTCCTCAAACACATCCACGAGGTGAGCGCGTCAGGAACCGGCGGCATCAAGGTGCTCACCTCCACCTCCTCATCTGGAGCACATCATCATAATCACCACCCTTATTATAATAATAATCCCCACAGCCAGACCAGCACCCACTACTACAGCCACAGCCATCACCATAGCAACCACCACAACAATAACAGCAGCAACGGCGTTCACCATCAGCAGCAGCAGATCCCTGAGAACGACTCAGCTCCATATTACAGCACCTCCACTCTGCCAAGGGATGCTCCCACTCAGAACTCCTCCTCCTCTGCTTCTTCTTCCTCGTCATCCTCTGACAACCCCACCTCTTCCACCTCCATCCAGTCATCCAACTCTACTTCCTCCTCAACGGCACTCCAGCAGCAGGTGATTCCAGAAAGACCAGGAAGAACAAGTGTCTCAGTCACACGCCACCACTCCCAGCGCCACTTGCTCATCAAGATGGGCAGCGGGGGCCGTGCCGCGCCGCGTCACCACAGCTTCAACCAACGGACGCCGCAGCAGGCACACTTTTTGGCCAGGATGAACACCAACAGCAGCAGCAACGGACCTCCAGGCGACAGCATGGCGGCTGACATGAGCAGAAATGCCAAATGCGAGAGGCAGGGGCCTCCAGTCGCCAGCGCCTGCCTGACGCGGCAGCACAGTTACAGTGAAGGGCCACATGTGCAGCGGGCGGCAACCGTCCGGAGAACACTCTCGCTTAAACCCGAGGTCCCGCCAAAACCGCTGTTCCTTCCAAACACAGCGACATCATCAATGGCAGAGGCGGGAACATTCAAATACTGAGACTATAGGAGGCTTCTTCAGTCAGCACTCTGAATTGTCTGCAGGGATTGTGAGAAATTGCTAAATTGATGCAACGAATGACACAAAAGAGTCCTAATTAAAACCCCTTCAAGCACGAGGGGACTGCTAATGGCAACCTTCACCTCACCATAGACTGCGGATAAAAACTGGCGAGTCTGAAAAACATTCCAGAAGCGGGGTGAAAGATGTTAATGATTTAAAAGGAGTTAAGGCTTGAGATGGCCTAATAAAAATCCATGATTAATGCAGTTTTCTTATGAGCGCTTTGATCTGCTGTCCGGATTGCACCTTGGCACAGCGCCGGATTTGATTTGCAAAGATTAATAAAGCAGGGAATTGTACTGTTGCGGCCCTAACATGAACTGAATCTCGGACTGTGGGAGTGTTCACTCTCCTTTTCTGTGATTAAACGAGTACAAACCCAGAAAAAACCCACTGAAATTAGGTTTTTGTTATCATGTTCGATGGAACACATCAGCATCATAGGAAAAAGACGGTTCTGCTTCATGAGCTGTAGTCAAACATTTAAATATGGGGATCCAGTTAAGGGCAGCTGCCACTGATAGTACATAGTGAGTCCATATTGGGATCTGAGACACAATTACAACCTAAATGGAGCGTTGGATGTTAACTTAAAGGGGACCTATCATGCAAAATGCACTTTTTGATGTCTTTTATACATAAATATGTGTCCCCGGTGTGGAGATGTGTCACATTTTTCATGGGCGCAACCCATACTCAGCTCTGCTGCTCATCCCACAAATGCATGTTCGTCACAAATGTGGCACCATTAAAAATGGAAATAAACAGGCTTTCCAATGGTATAAGATGTATTGCCAAGAAGCATTGTTACAACAAAGAAATAATCTACCAAACACAGATTTCCTTACTTTTTGTGTTAAGTTTATATGGTACAGAGCTAAGATGGATATCTGATTAATTATCCCTTCCATTTAGAAATTCATGCACTCAGTCCTCTACTTAAAGTCTGTAATTTGTATGTTTAAATTACTGAATTGATTGTCTTACTAATTAATATTAATATTTAATGTATAATTGTTCTCAAATGACTAAATTTGCCCACTCTCTTTTGCATTTGTCTTTATCTATCAAGAGCTTCCAAAGCTCAGAGCTGACTCTTTATAATGTGATCTATAAGATATGTTTAAAAATATGTTAAAATGTATAAAACTGCATTAAATCCAAGAGGCTGTTATCAATTTATTATCAATATCAATCAAGATCAAATGTTTTCTCGTCAACTGCACTGAGCTATGTAGTTTTGACAGGACTTTTCCAGATGCCGGAAAATCAGAAGGGGAACCTACAGAGCAGGAGAGACAGCTCTTCTGTTTCTCTTACCTCTGCTGCAGCGGGCTTCATTTACATTGTTTTCACTGTACAATTGACTATAACACAGTTTTATCAACTACTGTTTTACATTTGCAACCATAATATAAAAAACAAGCAATACACATTGAAGTAACCATGGTAGCAACACATCTCCATGACCTGCATGATTGTATAGAGGCAACTCGTGTAGGCCCAAATATTTCACTCAAAATGGACACGCTCATGTAACATCAGTGTTATTTGTTGTTACTTTGTAGAATAAATTCTTATAAAAGATATTCTTGGCTACATATTTTACTGTGAGGACAGCAGGACTGGTGCTCTGAATCCGAATATCTGAAAGAGGTCCGTTCCAGTTCCGTGCTGGAGCTAGTTTGGTTCCCACATGGTTTCAACCGACCAGAGCAGCTTTCTGTTGCTAGAAAGTAGTAATTCCCGGTCTGACTGTCAAATTAGTAACGTCTACTAATGGGTATTTCATAATCGTCTGCTGTCTGGAAATGGTAGTTTCGCCACGGCAGACGCACATTAATAACATCTTCTGCGTTTCATAAATACGTTTGATAGTGTAAGTGCAGACGGATTGCCACAGTTGTCTTTTCCTAAGTCTTGAGTTAAGGAAAGCTCTATCATCTTTCCTTAACCCTGTGACGTTTCTTACAGAGGTTAAGAAATAGTGGTTAGGAAAAGATGATAGGAAATAATATTTGACAATTTGACTGCAACCTTCAGCTGCAACTCATGAATAGTTTATGACACAAATGAAGTCATAAGCACACATTTTGAATAAAAGCGCCAACTAGTGGGCCACCCCAGAATGATTGTATTAATGACAAAATGGATTAGGTTTGTTAATGTGGATAGTTCTTATTTCTGTGGACTTTTGTGAAATTTGTGAGAGAACAGAATATAGAACTGCAGCACACAATGAGGCTATAACCAGAGTTATACTCACTTACATTAAAAATGTTTTTAAGGAATCCAGGGACTGTAATCATAAAGCTCCCTAGCACAAAGAATTGCCCCTAGTGACGAAATTCTAAGAAAGTCTAACTAATAATGTATTGGTGTAATATAAATCGGATGCAATTTGCCCTCAGGTCTGATATAGGTCTCTTAGTTGCTTACATGCATTTGTGAAGATGGCAATATATTTATTTTTTTAAGTGCACCGTAGTTTAAGTAAACTGTGAATCAGATTGAACGTGGGCCTCCACAGTTTCACTTGTTATTTCAGACCTTGATCAGCAGGTGGCAGCATTAAATGTGCAAACAACTTTACACTGTTTATATGCAAACAACCTAGAGATTAGTGAGTAAGTACAAATATTATGTAAAATATTCCAAATTTGTCAAGCTACCTCTGCATTTTTTTTAATGGGACATGAACCGAAAGGTGCGACCCTTTGGTCCCAAGGCCAAGTCCTTACAGACTGAGCCATTGCCGCCCCCTTTATGAAGTGAGATAGCGCCGTGGATGGCTGCTTGGTGTTGCGGTGTTTTGTCTTGTTTTGTGCGTTAATTCAGTTTATACAATTAGTACACCATGGTCTTTCACCAGAAATGAGCTCCTAAAAATCAGAGGAACAACTCCAGCACTTTTGTTTCCCACTTTTCTCAGCTCTTCTGGGGAACTATTGGACATTCTTAAAGGTTAAAGGTGCGTTGACCTGCATCAGAGCAGTGAAACGCCATAGGAGAAGGAGGTGGGCCGGGACGCAGCCGCGGAGTCCGCACTCCGTTACCTGGAATATTCCTTTAAAATGTTCGTTCTCTGAGCAATAAACTGGACGAACTTCAGCTGCTGGTGGGGAAAAACAGAGACTTTTCTTCATCTTCCGTTTTGTGCTTCAGAGAGATTTGGCTGTTTGGATCAATCCTTGTTCCGAGCGGATCGAGACACGGAGCTCTCCGGCAAATCGAAAGGTGGAGGAATATGCTTTTATACTAACAGTTGCTGGTGTGACAATGTAACTGTGATTCTGCAGCACTGTTCTCCCACCATGGACACGTTTATTATCAACTGCTTCTATTCCCCACGTGAGTTCTCCTCATTCATAGTGGTTAGTACTGTTTACCAACCCAGTCTCACATCTAAACATGTAATAACTACGTTGGTCCACAACTTGGGACGTAGTATTTCTACAAAAACGCCTCTGAAATTGTAGGATTTCTACGTTTTTTTTCACCATTCATTTCCAATGGCTGGCATCTATGTCACGTGATCTTCAACTTTCTCTCCGCAGAAATAAAAAAACATGGCCGACCTTCGTTTTATTCTCGGTAGAAAATGCCTATTTTAAGGTTAGTTTGGCCATTAAAATGCGTTTTGATGTCATTTGATGCGATAAATATGAGTTGTTATTTCAGATTATGTGTGCAGTGGATGTACATGATCTTTAGTTTGCTAGTTATTACGAAGAATACTTCAGGAAATTGTGTAAATACAACGTTTTCATTGTTACCAAGGTGGTTGCTAGGGACGCTGCTATCGATATTATGTCTGTTATGTTGTGTAACTGTTTAATGGTGTTATCTTTATTGCTACAAATAGAGTTAACTACGGCAGATATGTCATATTTAATGCAGCCGAAACGTGTATTACAATGCCGTTATGTGATGACTTTCAAAGAGAAAAGCAAGCCCACTCGGAATAATGTATTATTTAATTTTTTTATACAGTCTATGGTTGCTACAGAGGATTGTGGGTAATGTCCGTCAAACTTCCGGGTTTCTCCATGGGATCTTATTTTGGAAAAAGTATGTATTGAAGTCAATGGAGAGAGAAAGATTATCTTTCGATCCCGTTTGAATTGTGCCACGAATTACACATATGATGTTTGTCAATCTTAAATAATAATTTCCATGTCAAAAAAGTCACAGTTTGTCGTAAAACTGTTGAAATATAAGACTATGAAATGTGTGTGTATGTACAGCTCTCAACATGCCCAGACTTGTAGTGATTTTCACCTCTTTTAATACTTGTAATACCACATTACGTCACACGTTTGATGCGCACCCGTGATTGAAAATCTCTTTATTTAAAAAATACGGGGAATACGGATCTCGGGGTCTCCCTCCTCCCTGTGCGCAGATGCAACGCGTCATATGACGTCACATGTTTGGCATGTCTCGATTGAATATGCTTTATTTAAAACAAAAACAAGTACAATAAACAAAGCAGTCTTCACAACGGCCGGACAAAATACTTTGAGCCGCCCTATAGCCAAAGCCCGAGACACTGTTTAAAGCATAATAAAGACAATATATAGAGAGCATAATGGAAAATAACGTATCTATGCCACAATTTTAGATGCCGGGTAGCAATAAAGATAACACCATTAAACAGTTACACAACATAACAGACATAATATCGATAGCAGCGTCCCTAGCAACCACCTTGGTAACAATGAAAACGTTGTATTTACACAATTTCCTGAAGTATTCTTCGTAATAACTAGCAAACTAAAGATCATGTACATCCACTGCACACATAATCTGAAATAACAACTTATATTTCTCGCATCAAATGACATCAAAACGCATTTTAATGGCCAAACTAACCTTAAAATAGGCATTTTCTACCGAGAATAAAACGAAGGTCGGCCATGTTTTTTTATTTCTGCGGAGAGAAAGTTGAAGATCACGTGACATAGACGCCAGCCATTGGAAATGAATGGTGAAAAAAAACGTAGGGATCCTACAATTTCAGAGGCGTTTTTGTAGAAATACTACGTCCCAAGTTGTGGACCAACGTAGTTATTACACGTTTAGATGTGAGACTGGGTTGTGTTTACATCCCACCGCATGCGAACGTGCAGGAGGCGCAGTGCACACTCGCCGACCAGATACTGTGTGTGGAGAGGACTTATCCGGACTGCCTAGTTATTGTTCTTGGTGATTTTAACAAAGGCAAACTCAGTCATGAACTCCCAAAATACAAACAGTTTAATAAATGGGTTAGTGTTGGTAATTGTGGGTGTGCCTAGTGGAGGTGTGTCATTGTCACGGGGTGATTAAGATCACCGTTGCACCTGCTTATGGTTAAGTTTTGTTGGTCACAGAGGGGAGGGGGAGCATTCATTTTTTCTGTTGACCACACGAACCGCAGAAGATAGCACTTATAACCACATTAAACTCATCTTAACATTAACGATACTTACCACCTTGTACCATCTTTCCTCTGGAATCAATAAACTGGATTACTCAATTTACTCTACAACTTGGACTGTGCTTATTTCCATGGACATAGCGTGTCGGATGGATCTCCCTGCGTTTTGCCTCTCAGCGGCAAGATTGTAGCAACTCTATCCACCAGTTAAAGGAAATAAAACAGATATGTTGTATCCAGGGCCGTATCCACCATTGAGGTCACCGAGGTCCGGACCTCGGTAATAATTTCCGAGCTGTGTATATAACAAAACGTGTGAAATAACTGCACTAAACAGGGTTCTTTGTAGTACTTCCATTTACTGCCGATGGGGGCGCTGCATAACTACGTAGCCTCGATTAAAGCAAACAGAAGAAGACGACATGTATCAACCATCAACAAACCACCGCAGCCCGGACTTGTATCGGAGCAGCGGAGGAGTGATGAGGTATCTAGAGATCTGAGTCCAGAGGAGAGATGAGGTATCTAGAGATCTGAGTCCAGAGGAGGAGTGATGAGGTATCTAGAGATCTGAGTCCAGAGGAGAGATGAGGTATCTAGAGATCTGAGTCCAGAGGAGAGATGAGGTATCTAGAGATCTGAGTCCAGAGGAGGAGAGATGAGGTATCTAGAGATCTGAGTCCAGAGGAGGAGTGATGAGGTATCTAGAGATCTGAGTCCAGCGGGCTGCTTGTGTTTCTGTTCATCAGGACATCATATGACCAGCAGATCCTGTGTGAACGCTCTACGTTAATCAGTGGACGTCCGACAACATGCACACTAACTTATATTGCAGCTATAGGCTATACTTTGGTTTACATTGCGTGAATAAACTAGCTAGAGAGCTAAAGTTAATTACATTCATCCAATGTCAGAAGGATTACCTTTTAACAAACGTTGTAATGCTTTTCTTTCATTTCAATTTGAGTAAAACATTGAAGATATAACATTGTATTGTTTTCTTTTTACACTGACTCAGATATAATGAAAAGACTACTTCAGTCGAAGCTCAGCTTTGGTAAGGAAGAGACAGGACAGGCAGAGAGAAAGAGAGAGAGAGAAAGTGATGGAAGTCAGG